AGGAGCGAGTGCACATAGCTTGCCTCCTCCCCCTTCCCTCGCCTCCCTCTCCCTCTCCTTCGCCTTCGCCCGTTTGGGCCTTGGGAGCTCCGCGGGGAGGATCGGCTTGGGCGGGGTTCGGCCGGCGGGGCTGTTCCCTGGTCCGCCCTCGGTTGTCACGCCGGGCCGCCCTCCCCCCCCCCGCCCCCCGGCCCTCGGAGGCCACTCGGGTCTTTTCTCTCACACGTCGGAGGTGTGCGGGAGCCAGCTGGGGCCCTCGAGTAGCCCCAGGGTCCTCGGAGGTCGTCGCTGGCCCTCGGAGGCCATCCGGCGCCCGCGGAGGTTCTCGGGGCGTCCTCGGAGGTCCTCCGAGGCCTGCAGAGTCTTTCGGACGTCCTCGGAGGTCGTCGACGGCTTCCGTTAGCCCTCGGCAGCCCTGGGTGCCTTCGGGGCTCTCGGGGCCGTTGTCCCTCTGGGGCTCTCGGAGGCTCCGCTGGGGCGGGGCAGGCAGGGCCACGCTTGAGCGCCAGGGAGCGTTTGCCCGTCCGACGTGGGGAGAGCCGGAGGCGGCACTGGGCTCCCTCTTTCTCCTTTCCTGCCCTCCCTCCCCCGGCCCGGCGCTCCGGGTGGGCGTGGGTCAGGTGAGGCAGGGTGTCCTCCTCCCCTCCCTCTCCCTCTCCCTGTCTCGCTTCCTGTCGCCGTCTCGTGAATACGAGGTATGTCAGCAAGGCAGTCGTAGATGATGGGATCGGACCAGCCCTTGGCAGGCGCTCCCTGCCTGGCCCCCCACGCCGCGGGGAGTCTCTGAGATGCCTCTCCTGCTGCCCCGCTGGCCGGGGCGCGGGGAGGAGGCGCCTGCCAAGGAGGGAGGAGTCTCCTCGCGCAAGCCCTCCCCCCGCCCCCTCCAGCGCCGGCGGCTCATCTTGCACAGCCGTCGCAGCAACGTCGCCTCCGAGCCCTTTCTGGGCCGTGGCACTTTTTCGAAAAGGAAGCCGCGCCCGAGGCTTCCGCATGACGGTCCCACGGGAGCTCATGAGCGACTCAGGAGATCGGGGTCGGATTCACCGACATTGGAGGGTAAGTTGCCCGCGTAGCGCGTAAGCGCCCTCGTTTCCAATGTGGCGTGCCGCGCTGGCGGGTCGCGCAAGCAACCGCGACAGATCGCTATGCCATTTCGCGTAAGACCCGTTTCTTGTCCTCCTCCCTCTCTCTTCCCTGGTTCTTCCCTCTCCCTCCCTTCGCAGGCGATGCTTCTCCCCCACTCTCCAAGTTCCGCCCGAAAAGTTAGACCGCTCAGAACTACATAAGGGGAAAATCTGGGGTCCACCCCCCTCCTCATCAAGGATAGACGCCCCCCCATCGTATGTCCGGACTTGGGCCCCGAATTGCGCGCCCTATCGAAACCCCACAGAGTCTTGGGTTCGGGTCGTCATGCTCCCCCTCATCCCTCTCCACCTCTCCGCCTCTGCTCGCCGGCGAGCCCGTGGGGGAAAGGAATTGAGAAGGGGCGGGCCTTCTCAGAAGGCTGGGAAGCCTCCCGGCCTTCTGAGCAGTTTTCTGAGCCTTCCCCGAAGACAGCACATTTCTCAGAGGGCCGGAGGGCTTCTGAGCAGCCCCGCAGCCTCTTGAGAAGGCCTTCTCCTTCTCATTTCCCCCCTCGCTCGCCGCGGATCTGCACCCTCCTCTCTCTTCCTCTCCTCCTGCTCCACCTGCGCGACGGGCGCCGCCTGGGATGCCCCCCGAGAAAGCGACGCAAGGCGCGCTCGGCCACGGGGCCGGGGGCCTCTCGATTGGGCTCTGGGCGGCCCCCACGGCTGGCCCTCACGCGGTGGGCTCATGCGGCGATGGCTCGCCGGCGACGCCAGCGAAGGCGTTCAAGGTTGAGCTCCGCATGATTCAGCGCCGAGCGAGCGGGGAAGTGGCAAGGAGAAGGCCTGCTCAGAAGGCGGCGGCACTCCTCAGAATCCCCCCAGCCTTCTGAGAAGTTTTCTGCGTCTTCGGGGAAGGCTCAGGAAACTTCTCAGAAGGCCCGGGGACTTCCTGGCATTCTGAGAAGGCCAGCCCTGTCTCACTTCCCCACAGGTCTCGCCGCCGAGTTATGGAACGACGGGGAATCACTCAGGGGCACGGTAACGCAACAGGAGACGACGGAATTCAGCCTTGATCGATCGGGGCCGCGATCGGTTCAAGGTTGAACGATCGACGCTGTATCAGAAAACCTTTGCTCGCGCCGACGCCGCGCAGGCCTACCGTAGGCTCGAGATGCAGTCGATCGCGGGCACAATGCTGTCTGCCTCGAGGATCGCGGATCATGTTTTTGATGCTTTATCCGGATGTTAGCCAGCGTGGGCCCCAAAACAGTGTGTGTTTTAGCCATACATGTGGTGATATCGTTGTGGAGCAACCTAGATGGCGCAATCTATGTGGAGCCATATCTGTGGTGTACCCTATGGTGTTTAATCTATGTGGTGCAGTCCGCTTGTGCAAGGTACGATTCCCAATCTATGTTGTGCAATCTACGTGGTGCAATATGTGTTGTGCAATCTATGTGATGCCATCTATGTGTTGCAATCTATCTGGTGCAATCCATCTGATGCGTGGGGGCGAGGGCCATCGGCCTGTAGGATGTTCCTTAGGATGTCGCGGGGGGGCTCTTGGGGGCTGTTTGAAGCCTTTTGGGGTGGGCCTCTAGGGGCTGGTTTGGAGGTCTTCGGGGCTTCTTGGGGGCTCTTAAAGGTCTCGTGGGGGCCTCTTGGATCTTGGGTCTTTGGGTCTTCGGGTGCCTTCTCGGGAGGCCGCTTGGAGGCCTCCTGGGGCGTTTCGGAGACCTCTTGGGCCGTCCTGAGACCATTTTGGGCACAGTTGTGCGATCTTTGCGCGTCTGGGGGCTCTCTTAAACCGTCTTGACGGCCTTTTGATGCCTTCTTGGCTCGTCAGGCGGGGAGACTTGGGAAGATGCGGGGTAGCCCCGGGAGCACGCGCCACAGCCCGGGAGATTTGGAAGTATGGGGTCCAGGGCCCTTCAGACTCTTCAGGAGTGCGGATTGAGGCTTAAGGGGTTAAGAAAAGCAGTTGACGACACGCCCGGCGCCCAACGCCGCAAAAGAAAAGGCCCTGGAACGCAAACTCTGTCATTTGTTGGTCACCTCTGAGCTGCGCGCGGCCGTGCGCGCCGCCTTTCGGTGCGCACTTTGCGCGGTTGAACGCGCAGTTTTGGCGGCGCCGACCGTGTGGGCAGGGTGTCCCGCTGCAGGGGTACCCAGCGACACGGTGGCTTTGTGGTGCAGTAGATGAGGTACCATTTATGTGGTGTCGCAATTCTGCAAAACTTGGAATGCAGTCATCCCACCCACCCGCCCACCCGCAAAGGTGTTAGCAGAATCCATGCGGCTGCGAGTGCGATGAGCTTGGTGATCGCTGGTGGATATTTGCGGCCGCGCTAGCCCTATGCTCGCGCGCACAGCGGCCAGCTAGTGTGGCGCGACCGACGCGGCCGCGATGGCGCTCACCGCGGGGCACGTCCCATCGGGCACTTCAGTGCGAGTCGGTGACTCGGGCGGGCGTGGTATCATGGCGACGTCGTCAACGGTAGACATGATGACGATAGTAGCAATGATTGTACGATGATGATAATGACAATGGCAAGGCCAATGACGGCGCCGATGCTGATCACGCCGATGGCGATGACGGTGTCCTCGCGTCGGTGATGAAGGTTTTGGAAGGAGTTCGACGTGCGCGCGCGGCCGACGCGGGCGAATGGCCCGCCCCCCCCCCCCCACCCACACACACACCACGTTCGCACGGGCGTTCGAATGATGTCGACATGCGTCACGAGAGGCCCGTTTGGTCAAAGTTGATGAACAGGTTGCAACAACACATGCTACAAATGTTTCGGGGCACTCGGTTTTGACATCCTCGCGAAAACAAGAGCTTTTGCAGGATTGCGGCATTCGCGCGCGGCAAGCGCGCGCCCGCGCACTTCGTCCCGCTTGTCTGCAAGGGATTATTGCGACAGCGCGCGCGCATCGGCGTTCGAATGATTTCGACGCGCGTTTGGTATGATTTGATGAGCATGTTCAAAAACAAAACCGGTGCTTCTATTAAGAATTTACAAGTGCGCGAGCGTTGTTTTTTTGCTTTTGGGGGGACCCTGCCGCAAACCATTGGTTGTATGTTTTCGGGACAATCGATTTTGAAATCCTCAAGAAAACCCGGTTTGTTGAAGATTTTTGGCATTCGCGCGCCATCACGCGTGCGTGCGCACTTCGCCCCATTTGTTGCCCGGATGTTTGAATCTGCTGATTTGTTATAAACACGTGCGCGCATAGGGGGAACGGTAAAGGGACTGCCTCGGATGGTGCGAGTTCAAATGAAGGATGGGCGATGGGGCAGAACCATATATTGATTGTAGTTTGAAATCGGCAGACCGTTGCGTCCGGGGGGAGGTCGATTTCAGTGTTCCTTTTTTTTTTCGAAACGAGAATCTATGTGGTGCATTCGATGTGGCACGCAATAAACGTTGTGCAACCTATGTGGTGTGCGATCTATGTGGGCGGCGATGAGGCGGCGAAGGGGCGGCGACGGCAACAATATATCCGACAGACCGGCAGAAAGGTCCAGACGACGGGCGGCGACAAGGCGGCGACGGGGCGGCCACGGCGGCCGCATAGCCGCGAAACCGACGACACGGCCCGGCGACCTGGCGGCGACGGGTTCGGCGACGGCGGCCACATAGCCACCATATCGAAGACACGGCCCAGACAACGGGCGGCGACGAGGCGGCGACGCGGCGGCAACGCCGGCCCTATAGCCGCCAGATCGACGACACAGCACTGTTCGGCTGATGGGGGCCAGGTGCCATGAAATTCCCAAGTCTGGCAAATTTCATATACCTCCCCTTGAGGCGGACCCCCCGGGGAGGCCGCAGTTCAGGAACAGCGCCGGGACTGTAAGAGGCCCCTCCGCCAGAGGTCTGGGCAGGAGCCTCTCTCCTTGCGCTGCCGCGGCTCCCCCCGGCGCAGGCCGCGCTGCAGCGGCGCCTCCAGCGCGCGAGCCGGCCCGTGGTGGCCGCCACCCCGCCGTGCCCCCCGCCGCCGGTGGCGGCCGGTCTACAGGTCGGAGGGCCAGGGTGGTTCGAAGATGGAGCGTTCCCAGACCCCCTCGCGGGGTGACAGACATCACGACGGGAGATTTTGCAATTTTCGGCCTCTCTCGGGGGTGCACTGGATTACTGGGCCCCGGGGTTGTGAAAATTGGACTCTGGATGGAAAACTGGTCCGGGGGAAGGGGTCCAGGCCTCTGGGAGCCGACGTTGTGCAAAAAACACGGCCGGGTTCAATCTGCATCGTTGATGGCCTCCTCGCCCCAAGGCCCTATGTCTCAGTGCCCCATCTTTGAAGTGCCGATGGGATAAGGATCGGCACCACGACCACCAGCGGGACACCTCCAGCGAGGAGCTCCACGGTGCCCCCCCAAGCTGGAGGTTGGAGATGCCTCGAGCGGGATGCCTCACAGCGAGGGGACCTCACCACCCTCCTCCCTGGCTCCTCCTCATCCTTCTCCTCCGCCTCCACCTCCTCCTCATCCTCCTCCTCCTTCTCCTCCTCCTCCTCGTCCTCATCCTCCCTGTCCCCACTCCTCCGTCTCCCGCCTCTGCTCACGCATCCCCCCTGTCCTCCGACTCCTCGCCCTCCTCCTCCTCCTCCTCGCCCTCCTGGCTCCTGGCGACCCTGCGGCCGTGCCGTGCCTCTCCCCGGCCCTGCCCAGGGCGCGAGCCCTGCGCGAGGGCGCACGGCGGCCGGAGGCAGCTCGGAGGAGGCGCCGTGGCGCGCGCCTCCGCCCCCCCCCCCCCCCCCCGGGGTGCTGCCGCCCGCTGCCGCTGCTTCCCCCGTCTCGCTGTGCGAGGGCGCGGTGGCTGCTCCTCCCCAGACATGGTCGCGTCGTTAAAAAAAATCAGGACGACAGGTTTTTGGCTACCTTTGGCCCCGGGGGGTCCTCGCCTGGTCTCCGGACCGCCCAATAACGACTCAAGATGAAAATCCGGTCCCGGGGAAAGGCTCGGGACTTCCAGGGACGCCGTCCTGAAAAAATCAGGGCGTCGCATGTCTGGGTCTCCTGCTGCCTCTCCCCCTGTTCTCGCTGCCGCCGGCCTCCAGGAGCCCTCGCAGGGCCCCCCCCCGGGAGCGTCAAGGGGTCGAGAAGCGATTCAGGCTGGGGGGCGCGTAGTAAAGGGACGATACATGCAGGGGCAGCGAGGGCTGCAGAAGAAGGGTCACAGGACCCCTTTTCTACAGCCTCTCGCCCGGACCCCCTCGGGTCAAGAAGCAATCGCGGCGGGAAGTTTCTCGCTACCTTCGGCTTCAAGAGCTCGAGGCGGGAATTTTTGTCCATAGCCACCGCCTGATGGATCGATCTTCGGGGACCTCGGCAGGCGGTGGATATGGACTTCAGCTCGCTGAGGGGCAGCGAACGCGATCTCGGAGGAGGAGGCAATGCTCGTAGGGTAAACCTAAGCAGCCCAATCGTCGGTAAGAGCAAACCTAAGGTCCGAACTTGTCGCGAATGGGTGTCGTAAGGATTCTTATTGACGGATCAAGCCCGCTGGCTGAGCGTATTGGGATCTGGCCCTGGAAACAACGCTGCCCCCCAAGCGACCTCGAAGATATGGATATATTCGGGCGCCTGCCCAAGACACATCCAGATCCACCGCCCGCTGGAGTTCCAGGACAATGGCTCCGCCTCGCACAGGGGCCCTCGCCAGGCCCCTGGACCGTCAGAAAACGATGCGGGATGAAAAGCCAGTCCCTCGGCATCGCTCGGACGTGTGCAGTTTCTCTCGGCGAGGACCATCGAGGAGCATCCTTGATCATAAAGCGGAGAATGCACGCACGAAATCGGAAAAATGCGCGGGGAATGGACGTCCGAGCGATGGCGAGGTCCCCGCTGGAATGGGTCGAGACCTCCCAGGGGGTCGACGCCGGGGTCTGGGCCTGCCGCTGTTCTCCCTGCTGCTCCCCCCGACACCTGCTACCCTGTTGCTGCAGGCTTCGTCCGAACGTAGCCTCCGGCCCCGAGGGGGGGGTTTGATCAAACGAAAACGCATATGTCCCCCGAAGCACCGCTCAGACGGGTCACCGGCAGGTGTTGGCAAGAAGAAGACAGGTGGACGGACAGGCAGACGGCAGAGCGGAGGAGGGGAGGGGGGAGAAGGGAGGCCTCACAATGAACGATGAACGAGGAGAGGGGGGAGCGAGTAGGGAGTGGCTATAGCATGGCAGTGGCTCACATACCACGACGAGGACGACCCCTTTGCGCAGCTCGACCTTGACCCTGACATCGCAGCAGCCGGCGACCACTTACCACCAGAGCTGGAGCCGCCCGACCGCGACCCACCCCACGACACCCACCACGCCGACGAGCACGACCAGTCCACAGCTGACCCCTCCTCTGCGGCTCCCACGACAGTGGAGACGCCTACGCCCCCCAGCACTACGACGGCGAGCACAACCACAATGGAGGAGGACTGGCTACGACTGGCAGCCCTCCAACCACCACCACCTACGACGGCGCCCACATACATCAAGGACAGTATCAGCTACCGAGCAGACCCGCAGGCTGCAGACAATCTGGGTCAAGCCTACGCCGCCTTCATGCACACCATGGGAGCCTTCTACTGCGACGCCGGCGGCATCAGCGGAGACGACCGACAGAAGTTTATGGGGCGCGGCATTGGCTATGATTACCATTGGACCAGCACGGCCGCCAGCGGACACCGACGATCACGATACGCCAACCAATACGCTGACTGGCGGAGCAGTACAGCTACAGCTCTAGGCTACTACGACACGCTCCTCACCCGACAGCGGGGCGAGCAGCAACGACGAGCCATCGCCGACAGCTGCCGACGCCTCGCCCAACGGGGCATCCCCCCAGCAGGACGCCACGAGTCAACCCGAGCAGCTCTGCATCGACAACTGTGGAAGGAAAGACTACTGGACATCTCAGCCCTTGACCACGACATCATCAAGGGCATGGCCGCCCAGGCGACTCAGGAGGTGCAGTGGATCTTACGAGGCGATATCCGAGCCAGCAACCACGATTACGCCCAATGGGTCAGCGACATGAGTAAATATGCTCCTCTCCGCCTCATATCAAATTAGAACTTAACTTAGTTTGCATGCGTTGCACTGTCCGTGTGAACTGAAGCTGCGTTTCCGCAGCCATACGACTGCTCAAGCCAGCCGACCTCGGCTGGCAGGAGAGGAAAGGAACGCGCTGGGGCGCGCGGGCGGCTCGTCGTCGTCCGTCCTCGGCCTACCTCCTCCCTTCACATTCCTGATAGAGTAGTCTTTCTTAACGGATACTTGTCTTATCAATGTCTCATCCCGCCTCCGCTCACCCTGAGCAGAGTGAACGTGAGATCTTAATTCCTTTGTGATCTCACTCCGATTCTCAGAGGAAAGACTGGTTATCAGCCGAAACGCGCGACTCAGTCGACGCGGGGCCAATAGATACAAAAGAAGATCTCTCAGTCGTGCCCCGCGACCCAGTCGCTGCGGAAGAGAGCTACGATAAGACTAATATCGTGCCCAATATCTCGAGAAGCGCTGATGGGCGCGTTGAACAACATGATGGACACGATGCAGACAGAGACGGTCCTGTTCGAGACCGAATCCCTCCTTCATATGTCGCCGATCGGGTCGCGAGGGGAAGAGGTACCGAGGGGATAACCGAAATGTTGGTAGACGTATCCCCCGCAGGGGCTCCGATAGGTGACCGTGAGCAAACCCCCGACCCTCACGGGCGAGATGGCGTCACGCCAAGACCCAGGCGAGGTGCAGTCTCGTCGTGGAGTGCCAAACCGACGGAGCCAATAAGCTCCATCCTGAATACCCCACAAGCTACTGCCATTGCCGCTGGCGAAGCCAGCCGGCCAGGGGAGGTCCAAGGGAATCTAAATACGTAACCTGATATCCCGACAGAATGGGTGGGTATGCATGTTAACGCCCCGGCCCCTATAGCACTTAACGGACAATTCGGCCAGGATAGTGATGATCCAATAGACAAAGATCATGAAATATATTCCATGGAGGAAGATTTTGATAATATCAATAATGATATTTCCCTGAGCCGAGCGCTGTCCGTGATGATAGAAGAAGGCATCCTTGCTCAAGACGAAAGGTGGTCCCCAGATGGATCCGATGAAGACACTAGTATCTTGACGCGTCAGGCGGACAGGACGGAGACTCAGATGAAGCATGAGAGGGAGCCCACTGGACGAACCCCTGCGCCTAACCTCAAGAAACAACGGAATGAGGACGACGAACTAAACGTCTCGCCATTAAAGGAAAGTTTCTTCCGTAATGCCACCACCTCAGGCGAGTTGCAACCCACTATTCCAGCTGTTGTGAAGGATGAAGAAATGGTCGGGCAACCAGATATGGATGCTCAGCTAATAACACAAGATGAAAAGGATGAGGAGCTCTTAAATGCGCCTAAACCACCAGGAAGTACTTTTACTCGCCCCAGATCGAATGCTTCGAGCAGGGGAAGATCCAAAATACCAAGATCAGGGGCGAAGTCTACTTCAAGGAGCAACAGTGCAGTTTCTATGATGGAGGCACGTTGGAATCCCAATCCTGGCTGCGCGCCCCCGGCGGAGAGCAGATGCCCAGGACAAAGCCAACATGCCTGAAGGGGCATGTAGGAACCCAGCGTGCAGGAGTTGCTCGGGCGTTAGCAGCAAGCGTAACGCACAATGGCTGTGCACAGAGTGTTACCCAATGGACGAGCATAACTGCACGTACCTCCTCATACAGCCCATTCAAGACCAGGCCAGGCTAGCAGAGGCTAACACTCAGAGAGAGTTTCTGTCCAATCAAGCGCATCTGGCTGAAAGGGCTCGATTGGACAGAGAAGAATTAACTGAAACTGTGATCGAAGCTAGAAAAACGTTTGAGGCTGAGCGGATGGCCGTAGTCATGGCTGCTAGAGAGCGCGAACAGGCGCTGATAGAACATCTGCACAATCAAACTGAGGCCGTGAAACGGCAAGTGGAGAGGGAAGCTGAAGATAAATACAGAGAATTGCGGACTTCGGAGAGACGGGCCGTCACGATGGCAAACGAAGAATCTGCTGACGCCAATGCCGTTGCCGCTGCCGTCGCGGTGGCCAGGATAGAAAGAGAACAAATCGCGACAATCATGGCGGAACGAGAGAAAAACATGTCTTACAAGAAGAGCTCAAAGCCGCCAGGCTGGAAGCAGACAACACCCAAGCTGTAGCTGCGAAGATGACCAACCAGAACAATCTCTATCTGGACGAGCTTAAATCGCATGAGAAAGCTAGATCTTCCCTCCAGCGCATAATGTCGAGCAATGCCAAATGCCCGCCGACTACGCCGACTTGGATCGAACATGCACCAATTGCCGACGGCTCAGTCGTCGGGAATAGTATCCATCCCCACGCAATTTGATCAGACGACCTTGGCAAATGCGGGAACATCGACCATGCTGGCAGGAGGTGCAATACATCCCCCTCCCGAGGAGAAGGGAAACGCACTCCCCGTGGATCAGTTCCGCGCCGTTTGCATTCGTCCAAAAACGGACAATTGCGTCGGATGTGGTAGGTCGGCGTGCAAAGAACATATCGATGCGAGCACTAGAAGATGCTATAGATGCGACCTGTGGAAGAGTGAAAGGTCAGCTGCCAATATGCGAGGAGGAGATTGTTTCGAACGCAGTTTTTGCAGAGAAAGGAAAGATGAGGCTTAAAAGGCTATCATCGCCGACCCGACTCCATATACTGAAAATCAACGA